CAGTAAGTTTCTATAGCTTTACATGTACCTCATGTTTATTGTTCCTCTTCCTGCTAGGAAATGGGCTCCGTGAGGGTAGGGACCTCGTGTTGTTCTGTTCCCCAGTGTAACAGAAGATCCCAGAATGCCTCACACAGAGCGAGCATCAGTACACATTTGGTGAATGAATGAGTGAAGGAAGGAACGAAAACTTACGTTGTCTGTGTTCTGTTTCCTCAAAGACGTGGCAGGTGACTGTCTATCTGTGAAGATCCAAGGCGTTACTAGCTGATGACGACTTACTAGTTTCCCTAAACTGCATATAGCTTTTTCATTTTTATTTCCCAGGGGAGCTACACCTTTTCATGGCATAGGGCTTGGCTGTTTTCTCACAGACCAATTTAGGGGAAATTCGGAAGAGAGGCAGATCTTTCAGAGCCCTAGAAACCATCCCACAGAAGCAACTCTCTATTTTACCTAAAAGACAGGCTGAACCAGCAGAAATGGTTCTGGAAGTAAAGAAAGTATCAATGTTGGCATCATGCCATGCGGTTTATGGAGCTCTCTCAATCCCACTATCCAACGGAACCCTGATCGCAGCACTTCCTGCTATCCCTCTTTAGTTCAGGCGGAAACAGAGCCAGAGAAAACGATGACTTCCTGTATGATATATGGCTGGTTCAATGGCAGAGTGGTGAAGTGGCAAAGGGACTTCACACACCTGTGTGAAGGGACTTCACACCACACTGTCTGAGGTCCCTTCGTAACTTCTGTCAGGCCACCTCTGCGTCACGTGTGCCTTTTGGGGTCTTCGGGAAAGTGTACAAGACGCAGAGCATGTCGCGACCCACAGTGTGTGAGAGGATGTCGTCCAGTTCCGGGATGGACACCAAGGGAGCAAGGCCATGGGCGTTTCCTACCCAGATGCAAATGGACATTTTATGCAAGATTTTCATGAGAGACAGAGAAAGACTCTTTCTTGGGACATTTCGCAGTCCCCTCCTAGTGTCTTTCTACCCTCAGGACCATGACAACCGCACACACAATAATAATGAGACTTACCAGGTAACAAGCACTATGTGTTGTGGACTATTCTGAGTGCACTGCACCTGTTAATTCGCCTACATCTTACGTCAACTCTGTGTAGCATGATTATTAGCGCATTTCCCACGAAAGGTCCCAAAAGCACATTTGAGCCCATGCCACAGCTAGAAATTGGTGGACAGGGGATTTCAACCCACGTGGCCCATGCTCCAGAAAAGCGCCTGCCGTCCAATTGAAATATAATGCAAGCTGCATGTTTGGCTTTAAAAAAAATTTTTTTTAATGTTTATTTTTGAGAGAGACAAAGAGACAGAGCGCAAGCAGGGGAGGGGCAGAGAGAGAGAGGGAGACACTGAATCCAAGGCAGGCTCCAGGCTCCAAGCTGGCAGCACAGAGCCCGACGCAGGGCTCGAACTCACGAACCGTGAGATCATGACCTGAGCGAAGTCGGACGCTTCACCGACTGAACCACCCAGGCGGCCCACCGCATGTGTGATTTTCAATTTTCTAGTAGTTACATTAAAAAGGGAAAAGAAACATCCATGTAGGTACCTAGGGAGTCTTATGCTGAGTGAAATAAGTCAAAGAAAGACAAATACCGTGTGATTTCACTCCTAGGCGGAATCTAAAAAGCAAGCAAACAAAAGCAGAAGCAGGCCCATCGATACAGAGGGCAAACCGGTGGTGGCCAGAGGAGGGGGGATGGGAAGAGATGGGCAAAATGGGGGAGGGGAACTGGAGGTACAGCTTCCAGCTCTGGAAGGAATAAGTCACGGGGATGAAAGGCACAGCAGAGGGAACACAGTCAATGGTGCCGTAATAGCCTGTAGGGTGACAGATGGCAACTATGCTCGTGGGGAACGTGACATAATGGATAGAGATGTGCATTCAGTGTGTTGTACCCCTGAGACTAATGTGACATTGTGTGTCAATCGTACTGCACTAACAAATAAGCAAATGTACAAAGAAACAAATGAAGTCAATTTTAATAAAGTGTGCGATTTAACCCAATATATCAAAAAATTAATACTTCAACGCACAGTCATAAAAATTATTCACATGATCGTTCACATTTTGGTCCTAAGTCTTCGAAGTATTGTGTGCATTTTACTCCTAGAGCACGTCTCAGCCTGGATTCTAAATTTTAATCAGAAATCCTTAATCTGTATTTAGATTTCATTAAATCTCTGGTTGAAAAAGTAGATTTACATATTCAAGTTACTTCAATCGTACCCCAGGTATTCCAGTAACCGGATCAAGTACGAGTTTTTATTTATTTATTTATTTTTATTTATTTTTAAAAAAAATTTTTTTTTCAACGTTTATTTATTTTTGGGACAGAGAGAGACAGAGCATGAACGGGGGAGGGGCAGAGAGAGAGGGAGACACAGAATCAGAAACAGGCTCCAGGCTCTGAGCCATCAGCCCAGAGCCCGACGCGGGGCTCGAACTCACAGACCGCGAGATCGCGACCTGGCTGAAGTCGGACGCTTAACCGACTGCGCCACCCAGGCGCCCCGAGTACGAGTTTTTAAATTAAAATTAAATACAGTGTAAAGTTCAGTTCATCTACTGCACACGTGGAGGGTCCCATTGCCCCTGTGGTTGGTGGCTGCTGTGCAGGGACCACCAGCTCCCAGGCCCGCACCCCTGACGCCAGACTGCTCTGATTTCTGGGAGAGCCCCCTGCCCCCCGCCACTGTGGCTCAGCCCCGACTTCCCCATCCCTCAGCAGCTCCTATGATCTCCTCCTGAGCTTTTCAGATCTTCCGTCATTCGGCCCATAATCCCCATCTTTATTTTTAGCATTAACATCGAACGCCTTGAATTACACAGATGCCCACATCATGGGTGGAGAAGGCCGAACAACATCATAAAACTAAGAAAAAAATGACTGTCGGTTTTCCCTGTTAGCTCTGCTTAACATATGCGAGAATTCAGGACAAGGTAGGACTATCTCTCACCCACCCCCGCCCCCGGGGTGGAAATAATAGCTAGATTAGTTTGCATGTCAGAGCCTCTGCTTAACGAGGGTCCAAAACAGCTCCTTTGATGATGACCAAAACTCCTGCACAGCCTCTCTGCGTCGTCGGTGCGGGTGAACTGGGGAGAGGGAGACGACTGGCAAGAAATGGAAAAGGGGAAACGGCACCTTTCCGATCTGGTGTTCAGGGAGGACGTCCTTGCCTTTCTGCAGCCGAGAGGGCAGAGAACAAGAAGAGAAGGGAGATCTGTCCAGCACTGGGAGGGTGGTTCATGCAACTGAGGAAAGTACTTTTACTCTGATTTGATCTCACTTGGTTGTAAGTTCCAACAGCCACATGTGGTCGGGGCCGCCACGCTGGGGAGCACACAGAGGTCTGTAGGGACAGACGAGGGTCAGCGGCCCCTCTTCCGCTATAGACCCCGCACGAACTGGACGTGGTGGAGCCCTACCGTGGTGAGATGGGGGCCGAATATGAGAAACTTCTGTTTCCCGGGACTTGGGCATCTGTGCCCGGAGCTCAAGAGAATGCAGTCACTACCGTGTGTGAAGAGCCTCAGACGTGAGCGGGCAAAGCTGCAAGGGCCCCAGGTAGGTGAGTTCCTGATAGAAGATGCTCATTCTGCTTCTGCTCTGAACATTAGGAGACGTTCTTTATTTTTTTTTTATTAAAATGTTTTTAATGTTTATTTATTTTTTGAGAGAGAGAGAGAGAGAGAGAATGGGGGAGGGGCAGAGAGAGAGGGAGACACAGAATCCCAAGCAGGCTCCAGGCTCCGAGCTGGCAGCACAGAGCCCCATGTGGGGCTCGAACTCACAGACCGCGAGATCGTGACCTGAGCGGAAGTCGGACGCTCAACCGACGGAGCCGCCCAGACGCCCCAGGAGACATTCTTTAAAATGGACTTTCATGAATCATCTGACGATCTGTCAAATAAAAAACAAACAAACAACGAAGGCTGTCCCTCCCCGGAGTGGAACGCTACCTCAGAGGGAGAAGGCATGTCTTCTGATGGCCTTTTGTGATCGGGTGGCTGTTGTGCCTAGGGTTCCTGAGACAGAAAACGGATTTGCCAGGGTAGCGATGTGAACCAGTGGGGTTTGAGCCACACAACAGGCACTGATCTGAGTGATTTATATGCATTCATCTGTGCGACCCTCAAGTTCCGCTATTATCCCATTTTCCAGGTAAGGCAATTCAAACATGGGTTAAGTGACTTGCTCAAGGTCGCAGCTGACGCAGCCAAGCCCAGGAATGGGGCTTGAACCCAGGCATCGCGGTCGCCTGGACAATCACTGGTTCCCTCTCGCTCTACTGAGTCCGCCTCTCGGGGGTTTGCTGTGGCTGTGACACTGTGTGTGGCTGTGACACTGTGTGTGTGCATGCGGGGCGAGCCTCCCAAAGACGGTGGATTTGTGCACAGCCTGGCAGGCGAGGAGCTGGAAGAACAAGGCACGGGCCATCGGTGCTGCCGTCGAGTGGGAGAGAATTGGCCTTGGAATCGGAGCCTCTGGTTTCGTACTGCTGAGGTGCTGGGAAATATTACTTATTTCATTTGGCTGCTGAGATTTCATAAAACATGCATGCAGAAGGGCTCTGCAAAGCATACGGTAGGATGGATCCTGAAGATTCCGGAACACTGGTCCACTGGCCATTAAGGGATGCCACAGACGTCTCGGAGATGACACGGTTACAGGACTTAGTGGTTTCCCTAAGATTTAGGCGCAGTTCCGAATTTTTTACATCCTGCAGCTCAAGGATTCCTCCCCCTCAAGCGTGAAAGAGAGGCCTGAGGGCTTTCTTGTAATTTCAGATTTCCTGTGCCTTCGAGTTGCCTTCATATCAGGGCAACCAAACGTCTGGTTTGTGACCCCGATCGCAAGCAGCAAAGCGATTCAAGAAGAAAGGGATCCCTTTGTTTATGTCACCACAGGCCGGCACAGCCCCTCAGAGCCCGTCCCTGAGACCGAAGGCACCTGGGTCCCGGGTGGGTGTCGCGTGGGTGCGTGGCTGCCACACCTCCGAGGCGCCACGCCTTCGTCGCGCCTGGCTCCAGCTGCGACCCGAGTGAGGGGCCCTGCGTGCGTCCCCCGAGCGTGCCGCCATGCTGTTGTGGTTGTGGTCACACCTCGTGGAAGAGCTAGAAGGCCATGGACATACGCAGAGGGTGGGGGGGCTGCCTTACCAGCAATGAGTTTAAAGTGTCCCTTAAAGCTGGAAAAGGACACTATGGATAAGCTGCATCAAAACCCATAAAAAAATGTTTGCAGTGAGAAATAAAGGGCAATTTATCAGATCCTGGAGGATCATTCCCTGGTTATACGTGACACAACGGGCAATGGTTAAGCTCAAACGGTGGGCTAGCCTTTGGGCTGCAGAATGTTGGCACGTTACCTTCCTCCTCTTCCCCATTGCTGCGAAGTGCGTGTTATATCTTCCTTGACAGAGAAGACTCAGGCTAAAAGATATCCCCAAAGCCCAGAGCTGGTGCCTGGAAGGATGTGTTTTTGTTTGTTTGTTTGTTTGAAGCAGGTTTCACGCTTAGCGCGGAGCCCAACGTGGGGCTTGAACTCACCGCCCTGAGATTAAGACCTGAGCTGAGATCAAGAGTGGGATGCTTAACCGACTGAGCCACCCGGGCGTCCCCTGGAAGGATGCGAAGATATGTAAGAGTTGTAGAGTCCCTGCTCTTTGCTCTACACCTGCTTGTCCGCCTTGAGTCTCAGGTGAGAAGCCTTGGGTAACCAGTTCTGGGGGATATCTCTAGCACGCAGTAACACTGTGGGTGGACAGCGGCAGATGACTCACCAGGTTCACAGGACAGCTTAGGGTATATCAGGGACCAGCCCCCTCTTCCAGTAGTAGAGACTTCTTAGTGCCAAGGCCTACTCCACCAAGAGGAGTTCCAGTCTTGTGTATGCTAACGGACAGAGAGTTTCTAAAAATGCACGGGTGTGATGTGATGGCTCAGATTTTGTTGAGATTTAATATGTGAAACCCTGGTCCAAATTCTATATTCTCTGCAGTTTCTTCTCAGGTTGGCCCTTCCCATCACCATAATAGCCCTGGTTTGAACAGGAACATCTGTAGTCATCAACGTGAAGGACAAATCCAGGCTGTGGTGTTTTCCTTTTTGATGTTCTTCCCTCCTTCTTAGGGAGTTCTTGATAGTATGCAATGTACAACGTTGCCAATTAAGTTATGAAAATTTTCAATGCTTCTAGCCATTACAGATTTCCAGGCACCCATTATGACATTTTAAGAGTAGGTCTGTCTACTTCAACGCAAGTGTGGTACTTAGAGAGCTCGAGTTACAGACACTTTGGGTATCAGAGGAACCAGGTTCAACGTGGGCTGTAAAGGAAGAGGACAAACGGGGTTAGGCTATCATGAGTGGAGCCTGGCAAAATAGAGGGAGCAGAGGGAGCTGTCACGTGGACAGAGGCCTGCAGGCTGGGATGGCACCACTGGGCATGAGCCCTCTTGTCCTGTCCTCTCACTTCCAGAGCCCTGGGCACAGACAGAGCTTGTGGCTCAGCTCTGTCCCCACCGAGTGAGGCAACCACCACCATCCGATTGGCATGGACCCTCACAGGGGCAACTCTTCTCCATCTCAGCCCTAGTTTGGTAAAACAACGGGATTATTTTACAGATCCCTCAGGTCGCGGAGGCAAAAGACAGAGGGCAGTCCAGAATTTTCTGCACTTTGAATTAGATTGACTAAATACATTACATTAGATTAGAAAACATGTGTGACAAAACACCACTCTTCCCACGACTACAGGAACTCATAGCCAGTGAGGAAAACGGTCTGAAAGGCTTGCCACAGAAGGGTTACGGGCTTGTCTCTCTCTGGACGGTGGGTTATGAGTGTTGGTTTTTTGCTACTTTTGTTGGGCTACGTTTTTTGATTTTCAGTCAAGACTCAAATTGCTTTTGTAATAACAACAGAAAGAAAATGGCGTGCACTTAATGAAAGAAATAATAAAATAACTTTTTGATATTCAGGCGGTTTTACTTTTGTTTTCTAGCATAAACAGTCTAGAATAAGACTGAAAATAAATTGGACTTACAAAACAAAAAGGCAGAGCAAAATCTTTAATTTTGGAAAAATTTAAAAAACTGAAACCTTGGGGTGCCTGGGTGGCTCAGTTGGTTAAGCATCCGCCTTTGGCTCAGGTCATGATCTCCGGGTTCGTGGGTTCAAGTCCCGCGTCCGGCTCTGTGCTGACAGCTCGGAGCCTGGAACCTGTTTTGGATTCTGTGTCTCCCTCTTTCTCTGCACCTCCCCTATTCATGCTCTGTCTCTCAAAAATGAATAAAAAATGTTAAAAAAAACAAAAACAAAAACAAAAACCTTTCTAAATAGCTGCAGGAGAGTGCCATACCACCAATGCTAAAAAAAAGTATCGAAGCCTTTGATTTTTCAAAATTGTTAAATACTGCATAGATACACACAGCACTTGCTTAAGATGCAAAAGGTATATCGGCACAATAAATATCTATGTGCCTGCCACCCGATTTATAAAATACAGTATTACCTTGATTTCTGAAGCTCCCCGGTTGCCCCTCCAGTCCCACCTACCTCCTGCTCCCCTGAAATAACTACTATCCTGAATTTTCTGTGTTTTTATCCCTCTGCTTTTCTTTGATGTTTTGTACCAATAAATATTATTGAATTTGTACATTTTTAGACTTTAAATAAATGGAATAATATTACATATATTCTTCAACAACTCACTAAGATTCATTCATGTTATTATTGTGACTGCAGATCTTTTCACAGTTGTATAATATTCCACTACATGACTGTATGGATATACCACAGTTTATTTCTCCATTCCACCGTTGGTTACTTTTTTTTTTCTTTAACAAACAGTGCTGCTAAAAAGCTTCCCTAGGACTTGGAGTGCAGCGTCAGAGGATAGGTGTATCTTTAAAATTAATACGTAATGAATATTTGCAAACCACACATCTGATAAGGGTTAATATCCAAAATAAATAAGGAGCTCATACAACTCAATAGCAAAAGAACACATACTCCAATTTCAAAATGGGCAAAGAACCTGAACAGGTACTTAGCCTCATCAAAAAGACAAGAGGTTACAAGTGTTGGTGAGGATGTGGAGAAAAAAGAACCCTCACACACTGTTGGTGGGTTTGTAAGTTGGTGCAGCCACTGGGGAAAACAGTACAGAGGGTCCTCAAAAAACTAAAAATAGAACTACCACGTGAGCCAGTGATTCTACTTCTGGCTATAAATCCAAAGGAGAGGAAATCACTGTCCCGAAGAGGTACGTGCACCCCCCGTGTTTGTTGCTGCATTCTTCACAAAAGCAAAGACGTGAAGACAACCCAAGTGTCTGTCAGTAGATGAATGCATAAACATGCGGTGTAGATGCACGGTGGAAGGACATTCTACCATTTGAGGATGGACCCGGAGGACATTATGCTAACTTTATTAAGTCGGAGAAAGAAATATTATCTGACCCCACTTACATGTGGAATCTGACAAAAGCCAAACTCCTAGTAATAGAGGTCAGATGTGTGGTTGCCTGAGGCGGGGAGTCAGGGGTGGGGGGACTGGGTGAAGGTGGTCAAACTTGCCGTGACAAGATAAAAACCTCCTGAGCATGTAGCGTCCAGCGTGGTGACAATGGGTCGCAATACTCTATTGTACATCTGAAAGTTGCTAAGAGAGAGCTTAGGAGTTCTCATCACAAGCAAAAAAATCGTAACCATGTGAGGTGATGGATGTTATAGACCTATTGAGGTGATCGTTTCACAAAACATCCAACTATCAAATCATCATGCCATATGCATTAAACTTATAAATACTATGTCAATTTTATCTTTTTAAGTGTATTTATTTATTTTGAGGGAGAGAGAGAGAGAGAGAGAGAGAAAGCAGGGGAGGGACAGAGAAAGAGGAAGAGAGAGAATCCCAGGCAGGCTCCATGCTGTCAGTGCAGAGCCCGATGCGGGACTCGAACTCACGAACTGTGAGATCACGACCTGAGCTGAAATCAAGAGTTGGATGCTTCACCAACTGAGCCACCCAGGTGCTCTGTCAGTTATATTTTAGTAAAACTGGAAAAAAAAAACCCAAATTCATAGATAACACCACAATATGCTCCAAACACGCTGTGTGGACGTGTTACATACAGCCTGCAGTTATAAGCTTTTCCGTGTGGCCACATCCTCAGCATATTTGGATTTGTCAGACCTGAATTCGTGTCTCTGCCGATGGGGAAATACGGCCCCACCGTGGTTTATGCGTTCATGTCCTTGATGACCTGTACTGAGGTCGAACAGCTGCTCATGTGTGAGTCTCACAGCTGTGTTTTCTCCTGTGCCGTCCACACCCCTGGCTCATTTGTCTGTTGAGCTGCGTGGCCGCCTTCTTCGAGATTTATGGGACCTCTCTGTACGTTACGGGCCTGCACACGCCTTCTTCCAGTTTCTGGCTGGGTCTTCCCACTTTCTCTGACATGTTTTAATTAACAGACGGTGCCAATTTTAATGCCATATAATTTATCAACTTCTTTTTCCGTGGTTTTCATTCTGGATCCGTCACTGCCCAACTGCCGTGAAGCTACTGGTTTATCTCTTCTCCTAAAAGTGTTATGGCTCTGTCTTTCTTAAGTTTTCAATCCACTTGAAACGGATTTATGCGTGTCACTTCCTATTTCATATGGAAATAGGCACCGAACTGTTAACGCAGTTCCTCCGGTCAGACAAGCACTTACACAGATCAGGTTCCATAACTTCACTTGATGAAAATGGATTTTGCCAACTTCTGGTGCCTGGTTTTTTTTCTAGTCCTTTTAGGTTATTTGAGACTTCTACTGTGCTAACCAACACAGGCAAGCTTCCCTTCCTTCTTTGTGTTTTCAAACATGTGTGTTGAGTATTTTCTGCGGCTCCAAGGGAAACACAAACAGCTTGATCGGAACAGAATCCGGTGGCAAGCCTCTGCAAATTGTTCTTCCAAATGGATTTCTCTCCACTAATCAAAACTCTAGAGGTGCACCTTTTCAAGCACCTGCAAGTTCACTAATCAGTATTACGAACTGACTTTCTTCTAGGTCATCTGTTGCAAAGATGAAGTCTAGTTCTCCCCCCAGAATCTGATGTGCCTGGCTCCGTCACTCCACTGACCCTCAGGAAATTCAGGGGCCTTTGACGGTTCCCTAGCCAGGACGAGAGCTGAAATCACCTGCTTCGCTCTGTGGAATCAGACATGCTTCCACGAATATTTTTTCCATTTGTGAATGACATGGGGGGTGGGGCGTGTGCGGGTGTGTGTGTCTGAGCATCTTCCTAGTATTTTATTTGTGCAGAAGCAGACTGGTATTTGGTTAAGATTTCAGGTCCCGGAGAAGGACTACTTGGGATCAAGTTCTTATTCCTCTACTAGACCTTTGTGACCTTGGGCAGGGAACGTCATCTCTTCACATCTTAGTTTCTCCAGCTAGACATGGACACCAGAATTGTTGCCATCCGTGGGGGGATGTGGTTGGGCCTGGAGAATCCCCGAAATGGCATAAGGGTGCACCCCCTCTCTCTCAGATCCCCCACATGGGCTGTGTCCCCAGCCCCCATGTCTTCTGCTCCCCCCGGAAGAGAACGCCTGCCTGCTCCTGTCTGACGGTGACGGGCTGCAGAGAATGGGGTCCAGTCTCTAAAGTACGTCATATGGGGCGTGTTTTGTTAGGGCTGAAACTGCTATGAGCTGCAACAAGGCTTTGCTGCCCATATATTCATGGCACTTAGGTCACCTTGTAATAACGCAACACGGTAAATCAGTCGTGTGACACATGTGTCACATTCTTCCACGGCCACTTTGGTGGCTAGTCTCTTAGTTCTGTGGGTTCAGGCATGTTTTCATATTTTACTGTTAGAATTGTGTTAGGGGGCACCTGGGTGGCTCAGTCGGTTAAGCATCTGACTTCGGCTCAGGTCATGATCTCATGGTTCGTGGGTTCGAGCCCCGTATCGGGCTCTGTGCTGACAGCTGGGAGCCTGGAGCCTGCTTCGGATTCCGTGTCTCCCTCTCTGTCTGCTTCTCCCCTGCTCACGCTCTATTTCTCTCTTTCTCAAAAAATAAATAAACATTAAAAAATTACGTTAGGATGAAGAGCCATTTATTCAAGTATGAGCTCACATGTGGGTTTCCTAAGTTAAATACTGACAAGTGGATTGCCAGACTATAATCATTTGCTCTCCCTTTTCGAGAATCTTTATTTTAATGCATTGTAAGACCCAGACCAATCTGGGGGTTTCACATCAGTCGTTTCCTTCCTTAGTTTGTGAGTTAGAAGCAAGGGTGTCTTTAGGACGTGTGTGTCTTTGGACAAAGCACCCTCTTTGCTCCCGCTGCCTCTGTCATATCGCAAAACTCCAGGGACACCGTTCACTTTCTGTTCTATGTGTCCCATAGAAATCCCCTTTGTGACAGAACATTTTTACAGGTGAGATGGGTTTAAAGGTCCACCTCCTTAAGACGAACTTTTCAATGGAGAAGGACAAAGCCACTTCTTTTGGTTTGGAAATTATAGGCATTTCGATGAACAGCACACACACACACACACACACACACACACACACCCCACTGGTTAACGCTTCCTTTACATTTTGGCCTCCTAAGGTACTTTCCAAATAAAAGGCAATCCAGAGAGGAAACCTTGGGCCGTTTGCCTTGATTCACACTCTCCTACAGATTGCTCCCCGTACAGAGATAATGAGGTTACGTGCAATGATTGTATCTTATAAGTGTATAGTTTTATTCATTGTCCTCGGTGACCCGCCATCTGCCCTCAAGCATACAGGGCGCTCTTGTAACTTGGGAATCTTCAGGGATCACGAGACCTCCTCCTCCGCTTCCCCAGAGGGCTCAGTGGGAAGGAACCCAGCCTGTCACATGAAAACGGAAACACGGTATTACCGTGAACTGACTCTGCCCTTTTTTCAGGGGTCCCACAGCCACACACGGAAATAATCCCTTTGGAGAACAGCTTTTCTGTCCTTCGCACCTGTGAGGCCAAGACTGGCCGAATGTAGCAAATTTAACTTTTATCTCATAATTTCTTTCTACTGTATTTCTTACATTACTTTATCTTTTACTTCCCCCCCCCCCACCTCCCTCCTAAGTTCACCCTTTGCTCAGGATGTCGCAAGCCGAGTTCTACAAACCTTAAGATTCAGAACGAGATGTCTCACTTAACCAATTCGTCTTTGCTGCTTTCACAGCCCGCGTTTCGAATTGAAGAAGAAACTAGAAGGAAGGAAGGTTAGTGGGAAACTATTCCAGAAGAGCTGGAGGCTTTGAGGCCGAGACCCTTCATGCCTATGTGGTTGAATAGACTGTTTCCTGGCGAACGTGTTTAGTGTCCGTTGAAAAGAGAGCTTCCCCCCAAAGGAGGATCAAAAGTCACTGCCCCAGGGGTTTCCTAGAGTTGAGCCTTGCCTTACCCGAGTCCCATGCTGGCACTGGCAGAAAGCCCCGAGTCCCTAATCACAGCAGGGGATGCCAGATCCGCAGGTCAAGGCCAAAACAAAACGAACACACAACCTTCACACAACCTTCTAGGAAAGACGGTGAGAGTTTTCCCTGTGCAGATTTAAGTACAGTTTTGGACTTGGCCTGGGGTGGTCACAGAAAACACGTAACGAGACCCTTTCACGGAGAGATTAAAAAACTGGAGGTCAGCCAAGTCAGGTGGCACGAAGGCCATTACGACGTCATCGAATGTGAAACCACCGCCCGCTTCTAGCGCTGCAGGACAAGGGCTCCTCCCCCGCCGTCCGCGACTCGTGTTATTTCCACCTTCTGGCACGTGCCCTTGTGGTAAGCGCCTTCCTGCTGCGGATCTGGCTTTATTTTAGGAGGCGGTTTCTGTAAAGGCCGCGGAACCAGAGCTGAATATTGTCTCAGGCCGGTTCCCCAAGAAGCAGACAAGATTTGCTGGAGGAAATCTCCAGCAGGTGTGCTCGCGACCCCTGGAAGGAGGCACGGGGGGGGGGGGGGGCAGACCGGGCGGAGGGCGAAGGTGGACGGCGGTGCAGCTGGGACAGGGGCCTCGGCCAAGCTCCCTGGGTTCCCTGGAGTCGGGGAGGCTGGGACTTTGAGTTTCCACTAGACCCCTGGCTGCTGGCGGCTTCCAGGGCGGGGACAGGGCAGCTTCCAGAACCGGTGCTGTGGTCGTGGGCTCCGGCAGCCGGCTGGCTGCAGCCTCCGGCCAGTCCCCGTCATGATCTGGCGATTCAGAGGCTCAGGGAGATGCCTTCGTCCAGGCTGCTGCAGGATTTGAATAACCAAGCTGAGCGGCCCTGTGTTTTGGGTTGCATTAGCTGTCCTGAGCGCGAAGGGATGAAATCAGGAAGTGTCTTCTTAAGGGAGAGCCGGATAGTGAGACTGAGCAGGGAAACCTGCATGTCGCGGGGCTGGACTCACGACCCCCAAGAGGGGCCTCTTTAAGCAAGACCCACCTCTGGGTCTCCCACCTCCTCCTGGAGGTTGGTTCCTGTTGGGTCGAGTTGTACTTCTGCACGCTGCCACCGGGCGGCAGTGTTGTGTAACCTTTAGCAGCAGGTGCTCCGGAGATCAGACCCCGTTTCCACCCTGTTCACGTCACCTAAACCCCCATCACCTCATCTAGAAAGCGGGGATAGTAATATCGCTTACTTTGCACGGCCGTTAGGAATATTGATTGAACTGTACTTGGAAGCACCTAGACGAATGGCTCGGAAATAGCTGGTCGCTCAGGCCAGAGGGTGCTATGGAAAGCGGGTCCGTCTTGAATGTGAGTGACAATCCTTAGCAGGTTTTCTTAAGAAAGATGCTGTCTTTTCTGTGACTGAAAGAGGTGGGAAGAGAGACGGAGTGGGTTGGATGATGGACGAAAATCCAGCTTGAGAATGGAGATAAACTGAAGAACGGCTACTTTTATTTTTTTTATTTACTTTTATTAAAAAATGTTTAATGTCTATTTATTTGACAGAGAGAGAGAGAAAGAGAGAGAGAGAGCAGGGGAGGGGCTGAGAGAGACAGGGAGACACAGAATCAAAGCAGGCTCCAGGTTCCAAGCCGTCAGCACAGAGCCCGACCCGGGGCTCAAACCCACGAACCGGGAGGTCATGGCCTGAACTGAAGCCGGATGCTCAACCGACCGAGCCACCCAGGTGACCTAGAAAAGCTACTTTTAGCCAACAATACGTAGGAAACAAGCGGCACAGCGTCATTGACCTGGGGGCATTTGAACAGCACAGCGTCATTGACCTGGGGGCTGGGCAGAGGAACAGCATTTGCCTCGTGGGAGGTGTATGCTTTGGGACTGAATTGGGATAAACCGGGCTGAAGGTGTAGGTCGCGCCCTTGATGTCATGACCCATCGGACACCAGGCTCCCGGCGCCTGCACACCTCCGCCCATGAAAAAACATCCTGGCCTCAGGGCCAGGGTACGGAGGGTCCAGGCGTCAGAGACACAACTTGCGTGCTGCACCTACATAGACGTGACTCCATCTGCCGGAGCCACTTCTGTCCCCCGCGATGGTCAGCGAAGGCTGATCGTGTCACAACGACCCGATGCTTTCTTCCGTCCCGTCCCCTCTTCCCGCCCTCCTGATGTCCTGGTGAGGGCCGCTCTCCCCTCTTACCGCAGGCGGGATTCACTCAGTACATGGTTTCTGTTTTCCCTCAGCGGTAACAGAAATAGAGGAGTTTCTGATGATGCAGAAAACCCCAGGGATCAAGGACCTTTCGGCCCTGCAGACGTCCGTCTGTGCGACTTGTCCCTTGTCAAGTTCAAAACTCGAGTCTCCAGAAGGACGGAGAAGCCTGGGGTTGCCTTTCGTAACACACAAATGGCGTGACAGATTATCACCATGAAAACTCCATTAATGCATGATTAACAGGAATGTTGGGATTTAAATACCCGAATCACCATGCTGCTCCCTCTGTTCTTGTCTCAGCACAGGATGGTTCCTCCAGACGGGCTTCCCTGGGGGTGTTTCAAGGAGAACTTAGCGTCGGGAAGGATGAGGGTTTTTATTTATGAAAAATAAATATTTTTCCGGCTGCCGTCACCCCCACCCTCACCGGCCATGTTGATAGCCGTTCGTGTGAATGGTATTGGCCAGATGTGGGGGCCCAAGGTGGAGGGCAGAGCTGCACAAGACCGTGGGGCTGGCGTCTCGCCCGCTGGGGGGGTGGGGTGGGCGGTGGAGACTTCACGCACGGGAGGGGTCAGGAGGCGAAGGTAAGAGAGGCCCAGATCGTCGCTGATCCCGGATTTGCTGAGGTTGGATTCGTCATCCTGCCCCTGGGTGGAAAAGGCCAGTGGGACCTTGTGACCGCACGCCTTGTGTTTTCTGGTGGCGGGGACGCTTGGTCCTCTGCAAACGGGGTTATTTTTTACACGGAGTACACGGGAATCACATATTTCACAAATTTGCATTGAAGTCTTAAGATAGTCTAGCCCCTGTGCCGATTTTCTTTTTTTACTTTTGTTTTTCAACAGAATGGATTCAGTTTCTGCCCCCCCAGGGTTTACATTTCGGTGAATAAGGCGGACAAGACATCAGGCCGCATAAATCGGTGCATCGATACGATGGCGGTGATGATGCTGATTATTGGTAACGGACTGCGTCTGCCGAGAGCCGTGGGCCCTCAGTCACTCGGCTCAGTGCTTTAAGCGCATCGACTCTGTCTGGTCGAGAGCACCTGCGTGGATTCGGTGCTCTAGGTTAAGAGACTGGCCCCAGGTCGCACGGTCGGGGGTGTGGCAGGACGTTTCACGAGTGCGGCGTGCGGCCAGCACCCGGGTGCTTCTTTGCACGCTATTGCCGTTGGAGACGTCCCGGGTGCGTGCGGATGAACGGGAGGCGCAGTCAAGCCAGAGTGAGGCCGGCAGGATTTGAGCGAAACTCAAGGAGAGGAGTGGGAACTAGTGGGATGCAGGACGGTGAGATGGATGGAGGGGGCCACGCGGGCTCAGGGCGGCCTGGAGCTTAGTGCGCTGGGGTCCGGGGATGCGGGGAAAGGCCTGGGAGGAGGTGGCCGGGGGGAACAGAACGGCGACCACACGCCGCAAACACACGGTCCCGAGCTCGCGAAGAACAGGCGCTGAGAACTCGGGCAAACGTGTGGGATGCAAAGGCCGGGAAAGCGTCAGGGTCTCCTCTCAGGCTGACCTTTGCGTGGCCCGTGCTGACCTTTCCCTGCTCCGGGTCAGTGCGCGGTGAGCCGGCATGAGCAGGGCAAACCAGACGGAATCATGGAAGGAGGGAGGAGATGCGGAGGAAAAGGACAATTATGGAGCGACTCTTCCCTGGAAGGGTTTGCTAGGTCTCAACCTCGTCCTTCTTGAAACTCTGGCCTTCAGGGCCTCCGGAAGTCCCCCTGGCCTACGCTTCCTCCTGGGCCCGATGGCTTACTGTCCCAGCCACGGGGGCCTGTAGGCCCACCGTCTCCTCACTCGCTGGCCCCGTCCTGGCTCTCGCCCTGTTCTCCACCATCACCTGCCCCTGGAGTCATCATCAGGAGTCCGGGTCATGGGCTCCATTAAACACCTGCCTTTGCATACCTCACAGGGGCCCACCCCCAAGGACTCTCACACCCCCCTTTCTCTGTAATGACCCCCCTCGTTATGGCCTTATAGCAGACACCTGCCGTGCTCGTGGGTGGCCATGGCCAACGTCTTTTACATACTTCGCATGTAGGAAGTTCACCTCCGCATTCAGAAGCCAAGCTCTCCAGCCCTGTCCCACGCGGGAAGCACACCCCCGGGGGGGCGAAGGCTTGCCAGTCCCTTCCTTCCGAGGGAGGCCTGGTTTGGAGGTCGCCAGGCGAGCCAGGCTCCACGCGGGGCTTCGGGCCGGCTGATGCAGCTGGTTTCAGACGGGTCTGGGTTTGGGGGACAGCAGCATTGACAAGATGGGATCCCTGCCCCGGAGGTGACGTCAGGACTCACAGGTCTCACGGCAGGCGGGTCTCCACATCCTGGGTGTGGCCGCAGAAGCGCTGAGCCCGCGTGGAGCTTTGCTGCCTGGTGTGGCGCGTCCTTGCAGGCGTGGGGGAGGGGAGGTGATGGAGGCACAGGGGTGGGTTTCCTCTGCCTTTGACTTGACTGCCCTCAGCCTTCCCAGCGATCAGAGAGGTTCATAGTCCCTACTAAAGCTGCTTTGTATACGTGCACTAAATCATCCCGTTGCACACCTTTAAAAACATCACATGGTACCAAAAAAATTTTTTTTGTTTTAGATAAAACAAAACGTTGCCGAGCAGACCCTTGTTCGCAGCAGAATCTCCAACGGTTGGAGACTTTTGCCTCCTTCCCCGCTGGTGGAGAGTGGAGCTGAGTGCCAGGCTGCCTAGCGGTGAGGGGTGTGGTGGGCATCGGCTTCAAAGGGCGGGTTTACTTCTGTTTTACCGTCCCTTGAGGCTGTGTCACCTGGTGTCTCTGAGCCTGTGTTGTCCCTTTTAAGCCTCAGCCTCCCCAGCGGTTTCCCTACCAGTCGATTAGTGACAGTGCCCTTTATGCCATGGTGCCCCTGGCGGGGTCCCCAGGCTGTGACCCAGTGATCCAGCTGACGTGACTCAAGTCCTGCATAGCGCCTGGAAGTCTCTCAATAAAGAACATCTGTCCGCACGCAGCGCGAGGCCCTGTCTTCCTGACCAGAGCGTGAAGCTCTGGTCTTGCCCACTGGGCAACTGGAGCGACTTCAAGGCCATTTCTTTGTCACTCTCACCACCACCACGCCCTTGCAGCCAGCACAGCCTCTCTGTCCACCCCCCCTCCCCCCCCCCACCGCCGTGCACCCACCTCCCCGAAGTCCTCTTGTCTCTGTCCTTCGGGGAAGCATCTTGTTCATGTTTGTTTATTTATTTTGAAAGAGAGAGAGAGAATCATGAGCAGTCTCCATGCTTTCAGCACAGAGCCCAACGCAGGGCTGATCCTATGAACCATGAGATCATGACCTGAGCCAGAATCAAGTCAGACACATAACCCACGGAGCCACCCAGGCACCCCAACATTTTTATTTTTCTTTAAGTTTATTTATTTTGGGAGACAGCACATGCAGGCACACGCACACACACACACACACACACACACCAGCAACGGAGGAGGAGCAGAGAGAGGGGGAGAGAGAGAATCTCAAGCTGGCTCCACACTGTCAGTGCAGAGTCTGACTCGGGGCTCGATCCCATGAACTGTGAGATCGTGACCTGGAACTGGATCAAGAGTCAGACGCTTAACCGACTGAGCCACCCAGGGGCCCAGGGGAAAGCATTTTCAAAGGATATCCACCCACAGTCTCTTTTAAGTCTGGAATCCAGGTTATCACCCCCCCCCCCCAGGTAAAACTGTTATTTGTCACAGGAATATCGCTACTATATACCTACTTCTGTAGCGTTGGTACTGATGGCTCACTTTGATTCAACGGCTGCTCCCCCCCAGACTCTAGTACACGGTCTGGACCTGCACGGACTCATCTGATTCCAACGGTATCCTTCAGTGCACGTTGATAGCATTTTCCCCGCTTTACGGTCGAGGATGTAGACACTTTAGGGAGGCTGTGATTTCCCGGGTGAAACGCGTATATGTAAATGGCCGAAGCAGGATTTGCCTCTACGTCTGTCTGACTATATTGCTGTCGGCCTTAGGAGGCAGGTTGGCATGGCCTGAAATCCTTGGGGGATTCGGAAATCCTGGAGTGAGGATGGAGACCACCACTCTCGCCCGGCAGGTGCCACACGGGGAAAACAGCGGGCGGGCCTCCTTTACACAGGGTGTGTATCAAACAGGAACCCTTCTGAGTATCGCTTCCTGAAGCAGTTTTCACTCCGGTCTTCTGCACCTCTGATTTTCTACCCCTGCCAGATCCTTCTCAGTGGCGTGAAAACACCTGCCATGTCTCCCTGGCTGGGAAAGCAAGCAGACCCAGAAAGGAGCCTCTCAACCCCACATCTCCGTCCTGCTTCCAGCACACTTGCTGGCCCCTTTGCAGTCCAAGCACTGGGTTTGCTAATCTCCTCCCTCATCTCTCTGCCTCTCCCTCAAGTTCGCCCTTGTTAACGGCACCCAGGGAGGCCACACTGCCAGTCTGGCATTTCTGTAGGCCTCGTCTTGCCTGGCGTATTCAGAAACGTGAGCGGCTTGGTCCCTTTATCTCAAGAACTGTCCCCTCTTAAGACCTCGTCCTAAGAGACTCGTAAAAACTGACAACAAACTGAGGGTTGATGGGGGGGAGGGACAAGAGGGTGGGGGATGGGCATTGAGGAGGGCACCTGCTGGGATGAGCACTGGGTGTTGTATGGAAACCAAGTCGACAATAAATTTCATATTAAAAAAAAAAGACCTCGTCCTGGTTTTCCAACCCTCCCAGGGGGCGTGCCCCCCCCCCCCCGACTTGGCTCTAACTCCTGCTATGCGTATGCTAATGACTCCCAAACCAGACTAGCATTCTCCTGGGACTCTGCCTGAGCCCCTAAAAGGACGCCCTTGAAGCTCCGACAGATGTCTCAAGTTCACACTTCAAAACCCAAATTCCCGGACCCCCGACACACTCCACACCTGCTCCTCTGACATCCTTCTCGGTGCTCAGTCCAAACACCCAGGTGCTTCCCTTAACTCCTCTTGGACCCTCCACATCCACCCTCTCCGTAAGTCCCATCTGGTACAAATCAAACCTGTCTGACGCCCCATCGCTCCTTAGACTCGTCACCGGCACGCGCCCAGACCCGGGCACCCGCACCTGTCACCTGCGTCACAGCAGCCCGTGAACCGGCCTTGTGGCTTCCGTCCTGACCGCCCCTCGGCATATTCTCAGGCAGCCGGAGAGATGTGCTTGAAGACATGGGCCACGTCCACCGCGTGGAACCGTCTAATTCCATCCAGAGAGCAAGTTGCTTACGGGGCCTTCGGGAGCTGGTCTAACTCTTCCTCTCTGGCTTCCTCTCCATTCTTTCTTCCCTTTGCCCCCCCCCCCCCACCCATCCACGCCGATTTTAACCCCCTGGAATGTTCTGGAAACACTCCTGTCCTGTCACGTCCTGTCCTCTCTTCTGGAGCCGCGTTCCCTGTGAAGCCGTGGGCTTGCCTTCTTCTCCCCAGTCCTCTGCGTACATTTGGCTGTTCCCCTCTCCCGTCTCCATCTCTCTACGGTACCAACCGCACCCGTTGCTGTGCTGGCTGCCCATCCCCGCTACGCCTTCCGCGTGGGCTCAGTACCATCCAAGCTGTTTTTTAATACTTGTCTGTGTGTTTCTCGTCAGCTTCTTCTCCCGGCAAAGACGCTCTGTGTGAGCTTACTTCTTCACGGTGCCAAGAATCATATCATATCTCTGGCATTTGTTAAATATTTGTTGCATTTAATGAAATGGGGCAACAAACCTCTCATCCAGGCTTGCGGAAACACGCAGGTGTCTGCCTGTCTGTGAGTGTGTATGCGTCTGAGCGACAAAAGCCAAACTTAAGGGTTGCAGACGATATTATTCAGCTGCATCACCTAAACCACAGACCTCTGTTAACTCGCAAGTTCCAACTCCTTTCTCTTGTCGTTTCCTTCAAGGGCTGAAGCCCACGGAAGTCCTGAGCCCTTGGTGGCCGTGGCATGAAGGACCCAGCTCCCAGAGGAGTCTAGAATTTGTCTCGCTGCCATGGATCCAGTTATACACATGTAACTGCTGATGTTTTCTGGCCCCTCCTAGCCCTCCTCCTGATAAATTCCCTGGGTTTGTACCATGGGCTGCCTGCCTCTGCTTCCCTGCTGGACATTCAGTCCTCCCAAGAGTGAGATTCTCCAAAGCTTAACTTGCCTGGCAAGTCCTTGACTCCCACCCCCTTACCCGCAGCCCGATTTCTTGTGCACCTGCTGCTAAGTAAGATGCTTCTGTGAGAGGTCAGATGGCTTGAAGTCTGGCCCCGATTTCCTCCTGACTCTGAGTTCTACATCCTGCCTACACTCTTGGTTTAAATCAGCATTACTTCCTGCCGCATCGGATCGTCCCTGTCACTGGTACATCGTAAGCCAAACTCTACTTTTGCTCAGGGGGGCAATTGCACAGAAATCGAAATAGAGCGAGGGAGCAAGCTGTGCAGACGTTCCCGGCGAAGAGAGGTAAATGGTTTAGGCAAAGAAAAGAATGGCTAATGTTAGAATTTGAGGAGGGGTAGATAGTGGGGCGGACGGGATCCTTTCACATTATAGTCAACAGCACCAACGTTTTTGCTTGTTTTGTTTGGTGCTTTGTTTTTGCTTTTTTTATACAGGGAATCATTTTACACTTTTTGCACACCCAAAAAAGGTAGATATCAATAGAAAGAGCACAAGGCCTGCATTCGGAAGCCTTCGACTTTATACCTTCCTACTTCCCCTTACTATCTGTGTGGCCTCGAGTATGTCACTGCACTTGAGACACCGAATTCAACCTGTAGCAACAGGGAGATGATAACAAATGAAACTGCTGTGTGTCAGGCACACCCCGCCGAATGCTTACACGTTTTCCAAGCAACCCTGAAAGATGGAACTACTATCCCCACGTCAGAGGTGGACGGGTCGTTTTCCTCTGCGTCGGCCAGGCCCAGTGGAAGTGCTTTGTGAATGGTAAGCCACCTGCCAGTGGTCAGTCACACGCGAGGCCAGGTTGGTTCCCCGCTTCCCAAACTAGCGCGTGCGCTGCTGAAATCACGACGCTGCCAGAGAGATCCGGATGCGCTTTCGTTGGGTGTGAATGTTACCGTTTGACAAGTATTTAAAAAACAGTTTTTAAGGAGGCAGATCTTCTGGAGTACAATGCAAATTGTATATGTACAAGATGAAAACAAAACTTTGGAGAGACCGCGGGGCCTTTGTCTCCTTATACAGTATATAAAATGTCTCAGAATGTGATTGCTATTATGTAAGAGGCTTCTGCAAAGATGAAATTCTTAAGGAGAAGGGGGAAACAAACAAAAAACAAGGAACTGGAGGGGCGCCTGGGTGGCTCAGTCGGTTGGGCGTCCGACTTCGGCTCAGGTCACGATCTCGCGGTCCGTGAGTTCGAGCCCCGCGTCGGGCTCTGGGCTGATGGCTCAGAGCCTGGAGCCTGCTTCCGATTCTGTGTCTCCCTCTCTCTCTGCCCCTCCCCTGTTCATGCTCTGTCTCTCTCTGTCTCAAAAAATAAACGTTAAAAAAAATTAAAAAAAAAAAAATAAGGAACTGGATGTCTACATATTGTAGATCCTCCACAGATGTGAGCTCCTCTTCCTCCTTCATCCCCAGGACTGACGAGCTTCAATGGCTTTATCACTCCAAGGATTTCAAATGGGTGTGTTAATTTGAAAATAGTTCTGAGAAGAGTTTGCGTTCCCACTTAGGATCTGGACGCGTGGAAGGAGTTTTCCTGTCGTGAGCTGCCTGCGGGGAAAGCATCGCGAGGACACAGTGACGGGGACCATTTGGATGACTCACTGATGGGTCACTCAGGCTCCCTTAAGGCCCCACCTATTATTGCCAATTCATGACCATCCTTTCTTGTTCCGTGGCTTATGTCCTGTGGCCTATGTTCTGTGGCTTATGCCCCATACGGTGTTGTTCTGGAAGTCACTAATTACTGGTGATGCCAAGCATCTTTTTTCTAATGTTCATCAGACCTTTGACTAAATTGCTCATTCATACCTTTTGCCCACTTTTCAGACAGACGGACTATCTTTCCTTATCGACAGGAGGTTCTCCATGCATTCTGAATTCAAAACATCTATTAGGTTTATACACTGCAGATATATTCCCAGTTTGGGGCTTGTATGTTCACTCTGTTTAGTGCATCTCTATGTGTGTTTCTGTTTCCTCCCTCAAAGATTTCCATGTTGCGTGCAGGGAAATCCGACCAAGTGTTTCTCTCTGCTTCTCTTTTTGTGCCTGGAGTAAGAATCCTCCCCCACCTCGGGGTGTGAGAGTCTCCTGTGAATCCCTCAGGAGCGGTGCTGTTCTGATTTAGGGATTTGATCCACCTAGAAACACATATTTTTGTACGATGCGAGAGAAGGCTTCGGTATTATCTGTCCCCATATAGATTGCCACTTGTCCCATTCTTAGAGTTTCCCGCTCTTTCCTTGTGATTTGTAATGTCACTGAATTATATACCATTTTCACGCATTTGTGGTTCTGTTACCCCATTCTGTACTAATTAGTTGATTTTTCTCTGTGTATGAGAGATATGATATGTAAACCACCAGCATATTGCTTTAACTGTCACGCATTCATAGTAAGTGTTGATATCTAGTAGGGACAGTACTTCACAATGAATATCTTAAACTTGCTTTGGGGTAGTTTTGTCCTTACTCCTTTAGGTAGGTCTTGGGCTCACCCTGATGAGCGCAAGGGGAAGCCCTTTGAAATTCTCCGTGGAGTTTACGGGTTACTTTGACAAGCTGCCATTTTCATTTTCCTGAATCTTTATTGGTTAAAAAGATCATACATATCCTTCTTTACTTAGATCTTCATATAAATCTTTCAATGACATTTTAAATTTTTTCTCTTTAAGGGCTTTCCAAATCTTTTGTTAGATGTCCTTAAGTATGCCGTAGTTTAGTTGTTACTGGAAATTGTACTTTTCTATTCCAGATTTTTTTATTTTCTTATTTCTTGAGTTTATTTATTTTGAGGGAGAGAGAGAGAGATAGAGAGAGAGAGAGAGAGAAAGCACAAATGGGGAAGGGGCAGAGAGACAGGCAGTGCGAGGATCCCAAGCAGGCTTCAGGGCAGAGCCCGACGTGATGGGGGGCCTGAACCCACGAACCGTGAGATCATGACCTGAGCCAAAATCAAGAATCAGACACATAGCCGACAGAGCCACCCAGGTGCCCCTCCAGATCTTTTTCTATTGGTGTCTTCCTGAAATTAAAAAAAAAAACGCCATTTTTGAATATTTGTCTTAATGTCTAGAAACATGGCTGAGTTGTTATTTTTAATATTTTGGGTATTATTTTGGATATTACACACAGATAATAAAATTGCTGTGAGGTGGTCTGGGCTCCAGGACAGAAACGTCAATGGCACAACATAAGGAATCCGGAAGTGGACCCACTCGTATATGGACAACCGATCTTCAGTTGAGGGGAATCTGTTTTTAAAGTACCCGTAGATGATGTGCTGTTGTCTAAGAACTCCAGAGGCCTTGCATAACCTCCGGGGAGTCCCTTTCACGGCAGACGAGCCTATAATGGGCGAGTGGCAAATGTAAGCAATGACGTGAGGACAGGGGCCACGCAGAACCACAGACACTTTATCAAAGCGGCCGTGTCCGGGAGTTTAGTTGCCTCGGCTGTCTGAAGTCAGAAGGTGTAGCTCTTGGACTTGGCCTCGAGGGGGCGGTAACGACACGTAAGACCCGACCCCACTGGCTTTTCTGATTCTGAGCCGAGGAATCTAAAAGTGTGGGCGGACCACGGGCTGACCACATTTAGGAACGTCTTTCGGTTTTTATCTCAAGAATTCATTTTCCCTGCTGGGGTAACACGCAATTTCCTCTGTTGAAGACTTTCTCCATTTTGCTGTAACAGTGATCCTAGGATCTTATTATCCCAACTCGGTAAAAGCGACCCAATCTGGGACTGGGTGGGAGACAGGGATGTCTGGAGCTCTGTAGCCATAGAAGAGGTCGGCTAAGTTCCCGTTTTATAAATCTAAAATTCCTTCCCGGGTCATTCTTAGGCCTCCTTTGGGTGCGAACACTTATCTCTGCTCCATGCTGTTCTGAACTATTCTGGTAGAAAACCAGTGATTGTTGTGTTTCCTGTGGGTCTCACCTTTCAACCTTTGTGGAATGTTCTCTCTGCGTAGCCACTGCCCGTCTGCACTCGGACTGCTGAGTGCTGTCCTACTCACGCCCTCACCTCATGGAAGGTGGAGGAGAGCTGGACGGACCTTGCATGGAGGGAGAGTCAGTAATCAGCAGATGGAACAGGCTTGTACAGAAAGAGAGATGAAGGTCGCCGAAGCCTGGAAGTTCA